TCCCTCCCTCCCTCCCTCCCTTCCTTCCTTCCTTCCTTCCTTCCTTCCTTCCTTCCTTCCTTCCTTCCTTCCTTCCTTCCTTGTTTTGAGACATGGTCTCATTATGTGGCCCAGGCTGGCCTTGAACACATTAGTAGCCTACACTTGCTTGAATTTGGGGTAGTCTTTTTGCCTTAGCCTTCTGCAAGCTGAGATTACAGGCACAGATGTGCCACCACAGATGTGTGTAATCTTGTGATTAAAACAGACAAGTACTTGACTAAAGAATGGATGAGGTATGATTAAAACATAAAATGGATGTTTAAGTTACTTTTTTAAAAATAAGGGCAAATGATACATTCCCATCAATTCCACTAAAAATATTCTTGCTTGTTCAAAAAAAAAACCTATGAAATCTACTTATACTTTCTGAAGCCCATCTCTAAGAGCTCTTTCCCCCATATCATTAGCATTATGGTCATGTCTGGCTCAATATACTGAATTGATTCAAATTGTTTACTTTTAATGATCATTTTGACTGAGGGGAAGGGGGATGTGATGCACAGTGCCAGATCCAGTAAACAAAGTGTATATGAATACACTGTAATATTTTATGAGCCTATCTTTTCATTGGATTAAACTGTCGGGAAGAAACAATGAATTTTTCATCAATTTCATCAAAACCCTTATGAATGATATTATCCAGGATTGCCTTAGAAATGTGTAGAACATATTTGGAAAGTTTATTGAAAGTGGAGTGTCAAATATTGAGGTCTTGTCATCATGGTAATACTTAAGAGATCACAATTAGATCGCTTGTGGCGCTTGTTAAAGAAGAACAACATGAGAGTATTCCTGCTCTGATACCTTCTCCCTTACCTCTTGTCTATATCTCTTCCCATTGTACCCTCTCCCACTTTGAAGCACAGGTGAAGCACAAATAAACCGAACAATAGGTGCATGCTTTGAGTCTCCCAAATCATGAGAAAAGTTAAAGCATGTTCTTTGTAGCATGTAATATCCAAAAGGCCTTATCATCACAATCAAAAGCAGGGATGCACTCAACTCTTCTTCTCTGTGTCTTACATAGGCACATGCTCCACTAGGATTGGAAAGTTCCATTTCCACATTCTTCCCTTTGGTGCTTTCATCATTTCAGGATGATTTGTCATCTCTTTCAGAATGGATAATGTTCTTGTTCTTGTACATTGAAGCCTATACCAGTAGGCCATTGAGCCATATAAACACATGCACTCAGACTACCCTCTCCAAAACACCTAGACCTTGGACACCATCACATATCTAACAAAGCAAGTTTGCTGTCTAATTAGTCATGGAGTACATGGCATTTGGTGCGTAGGAAATGGGAGAAGCAGGTTGAAAACTGCACTAACATTGAGTTCTGAAGAGATGATTTAAAATCAGTGAGTTCCCTCCAACATTAGGACACAAAGTCCATGGTACAGGGGCAGTCATTTATTGAAGGCTGTATAAGATCCATCTCCTCACTTAATTTTTAAAGGAATTCTCATTGACTCTCATAACTTCCTTTGATGCAGCTTAGGAGTCTGGAGAACTTTCAAGCATTTTGAGAAGATGGAGATTATCCCAGTATCAGATACGTGTAGAGGAGGAAACGTTTTACATTTGCGTGTTTCTTTTTCCTTTAACAAAATCTTCAAAGAGCAAAACAATTTCTTATGAATGCCAATAGTTTTGGAGACTTTGGTATTGTTCTTCCTTGGCTGGAGTCTTATTTCCACTTAAATAGGAAAAGTCTTTTTCTGCTTTAAACATTGATACTGCCTCTATCATCTAAGGTTCCTCATTGGAATAAACATTCATGAAAAGAAAACAATTGGCAAACTCTGAACATATAACCGTCCCACCAACATAAGAAAATCATAGAGAACTGTCATTGAAAGGTGCCTTGTGGGCTGGAGAGATGGCTCAGTGGTCTAAAGCACCTACTTAGAACAAGCTTAGCAAAGCATCAGGGACCGCGGTTCAATCCCCCAGCACCACATGCCAGCCAGCCCCGCCCCCTGGTGGGCTGAGCTGGCCTCTCTCTCTCTCTCTCTCTCTCTCTCTCTCTCTCTCTCTCTCTCTCTCAAATAAATAAAAAAATTAAAAAAAGAAAGGTGCTTTGTATCTAATTTTACATTGTATTCCCTTATGCCAAAAGTTTCTGTAAGTAAGAATTATTTTGATTAATCCACAAAGATGGACTCAGACCTCTTACACAGACTCAAGCAACACTTCATTCAAATCGTCATGAAATGAGGAGTCTAAACTTCTTTATTACCGTGCATGTTTCTCATGGAATTCCTGGTTTCAGTGAGCTAAAAAACTACTTGCTAATCTAGACAAGATACATGGCCTCTCTGAATTATCTCATAAAAAGGAGTGAAGAGTAAACAACATACAATTTGCATATTTCTAAAAAGAATAGAGAGGGATGGCCAAATAGATCAGCGGATTAAAGCACCTGCAAGCAAGCTCAAGGGTCAGGGGTTCAATCACTGGGCCTGCCTGCCGTGCTGGTCCCACTCCAGGGGCATGCTGAGATGGCAATTGAGACTGGGCATGGTGGGGCACACCTGTAATTGCAGCTTTTGGGAGGCTGTAAACAGGCTGATCACTACAAGTCCCATCTAATAGTGAGACCCTGAACACCCTGTAGATCCTTCCCTAAAATACAAAAAAATTGCAAAATAATCCCCCAACACTGAGATTCTTTTTCACTCCAGATAGAATGACTATTTTCAAGAAATCAATCAATAACAACATGCATGGCTGTGGGTAAAATTAACCATTTATCACTGTTGGTGGAAGAGAAGACTAGTGCAACCACTATGGAAATCAGTGTGGAGCTTTCTCAGAAAACTAGAACTAGAGCATTCATTTGACCTAGCTTCCCTAAAGAGTTAGAAGCATCACACTCCCATATTTTTACTGATACAGTTTGTAATAGCTGAACCTTGGAAACAGCTCAAATAGCCATCAACTAATGAATGGATACAGAAGATTTGGGATTTTTTATACAATGGAGCACGGCCATAAATAAGGATAAGGCTGAGACATTCCTAGGTAATTGATGCACCTTGATGTCCTACTCTTGAAGTAAATTGGACAACTGTGTACAAATACTACATTGTTTCTCTGGTGTGTGAAACCGAAAATGTGATTAAGTGCCTAAATATATTAATAGATACTGGGAAGTTGGAAGAAAAATATTGAGGGGCTGGAGCGATAGCTCAGTAGAGTAAGCACAAGGATCTGAGTTCAATTCCTGGTTCCACCAAAACAAACAAACAAAAAAAACCCAGAAAAATGAAATAAAAGTAAAAAGAAGAAAGAAGAAAGAAAGAAAGAAAGAAAGAAAGAAAGAAAATATTGAAATAGGAGGCAAAATGGGGAGGAGGTAAGGGTAAGGTATGAAGGGAAATGAATAACTTGGTGATAAAATAAAGAGCTGGAAATAAAATTTTATGAATAAGGAGGGGAAAGAATTTAAATGAGGTAGAGGAATAGGGAGAGAATTAAGTTATAGTATGTAAAGTTGCAAATTCCATATAATGAATGCGATCATTACATGTACATATAATGTATCATTAACAATTAATTCTTTATTATGTGGTTTTATTTTTAAAGAATAGAAAATAATAAAGAAAAAAGCATTAGAAATGATATAAGACCTTATGGAAAACCCTCTATTATTATGGACTATTGGACTATATTGGGATATTTTGGAGAATTCATGCACTTACAGTATTTAAATTTCAATGGAATACCCTTCTCTGACAAAACTAACCAAAAAAGGGAGAAACAAATGAATGACCATTTTGAATCTGTATACTCAAAATAGGATAGATAGACAGCACCATTCTCTTAATTCAATAAATTGAGAGGTTTGTTCTAATAGTGTTTGAGACAGGATATCAGGTCTTTGTCTTGTATAATGAATAACCAGTAAGACGACAATATGCAATGTATTAATTATTCAAAATGTACTAGTAATCAGTTGTGAAACTGTCTCATTGCTATTTGCTTCTCGATAAAAATATTAAAAGAGGACTTAACTGAACAAAGTAAGCAATATAAATTCAAAAATGATTGGCATATTGCATCACGTTATTTTCAAATATGTTGTTTAGGTTATCAGAAAAAAGGCAAAAAGTTGAATTTATGTATATGTGCAGGATAGTTTGGATAATTCTACTGCTGATTTCTGTTGGTCTTTTGAAAGGAGCAATTAATGTTTAAGTATTTTTCTTATATTCTTATTTTTTCCTTTTAATTTTTTATAACTTTTTTCTTCTGTCGTATTGTTTTGTTCTTATAACAAATTTTGCTGGTTTATATCTAGTAAAGATTAATTTTAAATAAAGAACATGCTTAAGGAAATTAAAGTTTTCCCATGCATATTATCCAACAATAGTACAGTGAAATTGGAAATGAATGTTGAAAACTCTCAAAACTGTAAACACATAAAAATTAAACAACACCCTCCTGAAAAGTCAGTGAGCTACATATTAAATTAAAGAATGAATTACGCCGTTTCTAAAATTAATAATGCTAATCAACATACCATAATGTAAGGGACACAGTGTAAGTGATCCTAAGAGGGAAACTTCAGTGATAAATTCTCACTTAAGAAGAACAGCATGAGTTCAAATAAATAAACTAACGTGGATGGAAAACTTCAAGAAAAAGAAGAGTAAGTCAAGAAATTTAGCAAAATATTTTGATTATCAACATAATTGCTAGGACAAAATCCCCTTAATTTGTCTAAAGCAGCTCAACTCTGAGTGATGTTGGGAGAAATATGAAGCAGGCTTAGACCAATCTCACTTGATCACTATCTTAATCCTACACAAATCCCACATTTGACAACTCAAAATGCTCATTAGTCTACTATGGAAATATATTAAGACTTCTCCTTGCATCTCTATATTGCCTATTCAAGAAAAATGAAAAATGAACTATAGAAAGCAACATTGCCAAAGCACAAAATTTATTTATTTCTTCTTAGCAAGGAGGGTGTTTCTTATGCAATCAAAGTAGAGCCTGGATATTGAGGAATCCTGGCTCACTACCAGAAAAGGGCTGATTGTTGGAAAACACACAGAAATTATATCAGAAATGCTTACCAGCCACCAGCATTCCTCTGGAAAAAGAATAATAGAAAAGTGAAAGATGCAGGACATGCTGTAAAAAGACACAAAAGTGCTCACCAGAAGAAAGATGCTTTTGGTGGCTCTGGATTCAGCAGACCCCGAGAAAACATTTGTCCTGTGAATGTGTTGGACCTGCTGCTTGTGTCGGTACAGAGTAAAAATCATGGAACCACTCGCACAGATCATGAGCACAGAAGAAGTAGCTTCAGGGAATGTTACTAATGTGACATAGACTAAGCCCGGTATTGTCCCTGCATCTACACGAGAACAGAATGCCATCTTTCTCTTTTTTGTGATGTTCCTGTTATGCCATTTTCCTGACACATATGACAGATAGAGAGGAAAAATGGAATTGATTGCCATATGTTGAAACCAGCAGAGGCAAATGCATAAGCCAATATACTTTGGAGCTTTGATTTTAAGATCTTTCCAGCAGGAGTTCACGGGGCTGATCATGATACGTTGGAAGACACTCAAGAGGCAGATGGTACTAATTGACACACCCCTGCCCACTCTTTCAACATACAAGATAAGTTTGCAGACAAAATCACTGAAAAACTCTTTCCATCCAAAGGCTACTGTTATCAGAGGAGGTCCTTTAGCAAGAAGAAGTAAGGAGTTGGCTATAAATATGTGCTGGAGAATCAAGTTTATGTATCTCAACTTGCTTTTAGCATGATAAAAGAAAAGATAATGGTAAAGAAGAATGAAATTGCCCAGGATTCCAACTACAGTCTGTGACAAGAAGATCATTCCTATTGTCAAATACATGGCTCCTGTTTTTGTAATTTTTTCTACAGTTACCTTTAAATTATGGAGTCGAAGTTTTTTCTGAGCAAGGTGAATTGTAGTGATGTGATATGAAAAATCATTTTGAAGATGAGAAGCTATGGAATTGCAAAGTTTTCATGAAGCAAGAGGAGTTGAAGAGAATTCTCAAGCTGTTTCAGGGTAAGTCATCGCTATGGACGAGACGGTGCTCACCTGGGATGGAAGTGACAAGTGAAACCATATAGATACAAAATATAGTATTTTAAGTAAAACTTGAGATGCATTTTAGTCACAGTATGGAAAGAAAAGCCACAATCTTTATTGTCTTCATAGTATAAGTCAATTCTAAATAAATTTCCACTGTAAGTACAATAAATACCATATGTGGTAGCAAAAATTGTCTTTATGGTCTAAGGAAAATAAATTTTTGTTTACAAAACATACTAGACTTATGGACAAAATGACATCATATTAAAATTAAGAATGATTTTTATAAAAAGAAACTTGCATAGTGATATTTATGGAGAAATAGCAGACAAGGCCAGATAGGAAAACAGGTTCAAGAAGAGACGGAGGGCACACGCAGAGAAAATCATGCTTATCATGATAAACTCTTACATATTACAGAAGAGAATTAAAGGTGGAAATATTGTAATTACATTTCTAGAAAAGTTATTTGCTTGTTAATAAACCTATTCAAATATGCAATGTTATTAAACAGAAAATTTTGAATGAAACTAGTACCTGATATCATCAAACACCACCCAGAATGACAAGGTACAAATGACAAGAAAGAGTAAATTTGGTGAAAACATGGGGAAATCAAGAACTTGTCCATGCACAGTGGTTATAAGTGCTTAGGAAAACTTTTTTGGTAGGATCTTTATAAAATGAGAAATGTAATTTTGATTTCCTTTTCCACCTCATCTTTTAGGGTACAATAGTTTTCATTCTAGAGGTCTTTCATTTCCTTGGTTAGATTAACTCATTAGTCTTAAATTTTATTAGAAGCTACCATGAATGGGAACATTTTGTTCCTCATTTCTTTCTTAGTAGGTTCATTATATATATGAATACTTTTAATTTTTGTATAATATTTTATACCCTACATTTTTTTTGCATTTTTTATTTGTATAGCATTTCCATGCATCTGTTTGTTAATTCTAAGGTATTCCAGTGGAGTTTTTAGAATCATTTTCTAAAGGACCATGTCACCTACAAAGATGGATGATTTGATTTCTTCAATTCCTATCCCATTTATTTCTTTCTGTTGCATAATTGCTCTGGCTAAAATTTTGAGTACTGTATTAAATGAAAGTGGTTGAGAGTATGCACCCTTTTCTTTTTTAATTTTTAACCATTTTAATGAGTAAAAAGACAAAATAGCAATGAAAAATTTCAAAAACAGGTTAGTAGGACAGTTACAATAATTAATACATTGCATATTGTTGTCTTCATAGTAGTAATTCATAGGACAAGCTGTAGACATGAAATCTTGTCTAAACGCTATTAATACAAACTTTTCTTCTCATTGAACTAAGAGAAAGAAGCTATCCTACATGTCTTGTATTTATATATACATATACTTATTTTCTTCATTACAAAACAGTCCTTTATTTATATCTCCTTTTTTTGTGTTGTTTTGTTAGAGATGGGTGTTCCATTGCTGTACACCCTTTTCTTATTCCAGATTTTAAGAGAAAATATTTTCAGTTTTCCCCACTTATTATAATGCTGGCAGTGGATTTTACATAACACTTTTGTCAGTTTAGGATAAAGTTCTTTAATATTTAATTTTTACCAGGATTTTTTTTATTAGAAATGAGTGTAGGATTGATCAAAGTTTTTTTTCACCACATATTGAGAGGAAGTTTTGATTTTTATTCATCTATTTATATGCTGTATTGAACTTATCACGTTATGCATATTGGTCTATGTTTCCATCCCCAGGATGGAGCTAACTTCTTAATGATTGGTTGCATTCTGCTTACCCAAGTCTCCTTTTATGTTTTAGCATCTATGTTCATAGAAGAGTTTTTTTTTTTTAACTTTCTGTGGTTTGTGTGTCAGGGTAATTGCCATTTCCAGAATGAATTTTGTAGGACTCTTTTGATTACACTTTTATAGTTGATGCTGAGTTGCATTCACATGAAATTTTTCCCTGAAACTCTACATTCAGAGCAGTCTTTATTTCATAGGGTTTTCTTTTTGCTGCCTCTATTTTATTATGTGTTCATGCTCTAATTGAGGATTTATATCTTTTTTGTTCAGTTTTGTCATTCAAAGGACCAAATCAAGGATCAAGGATTCATTCACCACCGGGTATGAATTTGGATTTTTATGGCTTTTTGTTGGTTTCTTGGTTTGCTTTGTTTTGTTTTTGTTTTTATCTTTAGGACCTTGAGATGTATCATAAGCTAATTTACTTGTCATGACTATTCTCCTAATGTGAGCATTCAGAACTGTATACTTCCTTCTTAGAATTGCTTTCATGACATCCCGTGAATTTTGATATGTTGCATTTCTACTTTTACATTGATAATAAGAACTTTTATTTATTTTTTTAAAAATTTATTTATTTATTTATTACATTTATTTATTGTGTGTGTGTGTGTGTGTGTGTGTGTGTGTGTGTGGCCAGCTCAGCCCACCAGGGGGCGGGGCTGGCTGGCATGTGGTGCTGGGGGATTGAACCGCGGTCCCTGTGCTTTGCTAAGCTTGTTCCAAGTAGGTGCTTTAGACCACTCAGCCATCTCTCCAGCCCCAATAAGAACTTTTAGATTCTTGTGTGAGCCACCAGTTATTGAATGATGTATTTTTAAATTGCTGTGCTTTTTTCGTGCTGAATTCTAGTTTCATTTTTGTATGTTCCAGTAGCATTCATGAAATTAGTTCAAATTTTGTATTTATTTAAACACTCTAAATTGCCTAAATGGTCTATTTTGAAAACATTCTGTGTGTGCCTGAGAAAAAGGTACATTATGTTATCAGATGAAAGACTGTTATCTCCCTTTGCTAAATAATGTACATTGACTCCTATTTCTTTTTTTTATTTTTATCCCCTTCTGGGATACCTGTCTACCTGTAAGAATGCAGTACTGAAGTCCTTCATTATGTCTGTATTTATTTTTTTTCTGAATTTTTGTCCAGTAGTGACTTTCTTTTGTGAAGTTATGCCAGAAGTTTGTGGATACATATTTATACCTGCTATCACTTCCTGTTGAGTTATTTTATTAATGATCAACTTTGTCTCTTCTGATCAGTTTTGACTGAATATGTTTTGTCTGAAAACAAGGGATATACTCGGTCTTTTTTTTTCTTTCTTTTTTTGTTTTTTTGGAACTGGGGATTGAAGTCAGACCCTTGTACTTGCCAGGCAAGCGCTTGTTCTACTGCGCCATCTCCCCGGCTGCTCTGTCTTGTTTGGGGGATTTACTTGTAATGATTGTTTTCCAGCCTTTAAATTTAGTCTACACATTTTCTTTTTGATGAGATTTTTCTGTTTGAGGTCGTATATAGCTGTGATCTATAGAACCAATGTTCTATTCTGTAGCATTTGTCTTATGATTTAAGACCACTGACATTGAGAATTATTATTGTGAGCTATTTATTGAATTCATTCAAGGGTTTTATTTTTTCAGTACTGATTTTTGTTGGTTTGTTTAACTATTCTCCATGACAAATGTGTATTTTTGTTGAGCTTTTTGGCAATGTCAGACTCTGTCACTGTATACATTTCCCTTAAATATTTTTTTATAATTCTAGTTTAGTGCTCATGTATTTCTATAGAATTTTTCTGTAATGAAAAGTCCTTAATTCTCTGTCATTTTGATGATTAATATTATAGGACAAAGAGGCATAATTATCTATTCATTATTAGAGAAATGTGCTGCAAGCTTATGTAGATTTTAAAGTTCATTCTAAGAAATGTGCATAATTCTGGTAAGTTGAATTTATATGTCTGTTTTGTTTTTCTCCAACACTTTTTTATTCTTATTGTTGAATTTCTGAAATTTCAATTGTTGTTTCTCAAGGAGAGGTAGCTACTTGCCTGGTTGTGGATGTTTGCACTTTCAGATGTCTTTGTACTTGAATATTCAACTATTTCCTAAACATTTGAAAATGTATGCTATGATTTCAAATTCTTTATAACTTTTAAGTCATTTTTCAAACTTTTGTTTTCTTTCTTTTTTCTTTCTTTCCTTTTTTTTCCTCTCTCATAGAGGAACTATCAACTACATCTTCCAGATTGCTGTCTTCATTGGATCATTACTGAGTATATAATTTATATCATAATTTTAAAAATGAAAATAAAACACCTATGTTCCTGAATAAGTAATACTAATGTTGGCAAAATGGCTATATTACCAAAAGTGATATATAGATAAAATGAAGTTCAAATCAAAGCAGTAACAGTTCTTTTCAGGAAGCCAGAAAAAAATCATAAAATTTATATTTTAAAATAGCAAAGCAAACAAACAACAGAGTAAAGTGATTGCCTAGAGGTTGAGAGTGAAACATCGCTAATCATTTTCTTGCACAGAGAACTACTGGCAAAAACATAAAAAACTTTAAGAATCTACACCATTAAAAGTAAAAACCCAATCAAAAAGTCAGTAATGTAATTAATAAATAGCTCTTCAAAGAAGAGGTAAAATAGCCAAACAGTACATTTAAAATGTTCAAAATTGGGCCACAGAGATAGCTCAGTGATCTAAACACCTGCCTAGGAAAGCACAAGGATATGGGTTCAATCGTAGTTACCACATGTCATGCAGGCCCCACCCCAGTTGTGCTGAGCTGGCCACCAAGACCAGGTGTGGTGGCGCATGCCTGTAATCCTTGTGCTGGGGAGGCTGACACAGGAGGATCACTATTAGTCTGAGCTGCGTAGTGAGACCCTGTACCAAACACAGTTCAAAAAATGTTCAGAATTTTTCTGTTTGAGATATGGAAATGACAGAAAAACTAAAATTCCATCTTACACAGAAAGAGGTGCT